TGCACGTGTCTCTCGGATACTGCTTCCTTTTCCCTCAGTGGAGAGTCACAGGCCCTTTTTTTGGTACAGTTTATCTAACCTGTTTCAAATGTTTGTTTTTCAGATGACCTGCACTCTATTCTAATTTCAACTGGGAAGGCCTCCATTAACCATGAGGGAGCCCAGGATGACAAGCCTACCAGCTACATCTCCACTGCAGTCTGATGAGTTTCTGTCCCTAGTCAGCTGGTCCCCAACACTTTATCTCTTGTTTGGAATCCACTGCTTATCAGTGCAAAGCAGATCCTAGTCTGAAATTGTTTTTATCTTCCTCAGCACTTATGGGACACATGGGTATGGGTTTCTGGCACTACCTGTTATTATCACAGAGGGATATGTAGTCTGACAGTGTTCAGTGTTTGTACCCTGTGTTAGGTACTGCAGGCTGGGTTTTCAGCTGCCACCTCCAGCAAACTTGCTGCAGTCCTCTGGCATGTGTAGTTCCCTCATAATCTCCACATAAGCTACATTTAGTTTAACAGAGAACAGCACCTTGTTTCAGTTATGGCCCTGCCAAGGCATTTTGGGTAAATCATGACTCTTCAGCAGACAGGTGCTGGCCCTGTGCACCTGCCAGGTTTCTCCAAAACCAACCCTGTGCTACACAGAAAAGTCATGGTACTTATTTTAGCTGAAAATGCTGCAAGGTACTGGAATGCTCCTGTGTGCAATGGTTTATTTCAGACAGTGGCTGTTTGGCAACATGCAGGCTCCAACCATCTATCCCACAGCAGGACCAGTGCCAGCACAACAGTACTGTGCCATGGGCAGCTGCAGAATCAGGGAAGTGTGCACAGAAAGCAAGGAATTCTATGAAATGAAAAGTTGCCTGTCTTTAAGTTGATGACATCACTTGGTGAGGACCGTGCAGATGCTGGCTGAGGGGGGCCTGGAGAGCAAAAGACAGGTATGTCTGATGATTAATGGTTTTGTCTTGTATTAAAAGACATGTATGTGGGAGAAAGAAAAAATTACAATAATAGGATTATACTAGGATTACAATATGCAAAAATCTGGGAAAGAAAACAATTTTTCTATAGCAGCCTGAGCAACAATGCTGTGCAAAACTTGTACTAAGTGATATCTTAAATATATTGGTGTTTATGTAGCAGCTGAACCCACAAAGGCCACAGGCACAGACAGAAGGGAAGATGTTCCCCCGTGACCTGTGGTGCATCCAATGTACAAAACTCAAACAATACACAGAAGGTATTTGTAAGGTGATCCCAGCAGATGGCTTAATTTGTCTTCAAAACCTTGCCCTGGTGTGAAGTCTCAGGCACCAAGAATCAGCTCCTTTCTTTGTTGGCATCAGCATCAGGATGACTTCAAAGTCATGTCAAAAGGCAAAGGACTTAAGTTATCCCCACCAGGTGATCAGTGCCTGTCACTACTGCATATCCTGGAGAGGAGTTTTCACAAGATGGGGTAGTGCAACTCAGTGCTCTGAAGAAATGAAGTCTCTAGTTTCTCTTGTTTTCTTGGGCACTGTTTTCTTTATAGTCGATGAGTTTGGTAGATTTTTGCTTTTCATGGATGTTGCTTTCCTCTGCTTTTGATGAGTGGTTCGGAGAGATTTCAGCCCCAGCATCTCACAGTACTTATTGCACTGGTGGAGGGCTCTGAACTGCTCAATGAAGGATATTGAGCAGTTGCCTTTAAAACCCTTGTATCTGTAGCAACAAAGAAAAAAAAAGCCAAATGGGATTTCAAGATTCATTTTCAGCACAGGGAGGCAGAGTATGATTGTTGATTCATAAACAATTTGAAAACATTAAGCAAGTCTCTTCCAGCCATGCTGTTTTGAGAAGCACCTACTGTGACAGAAAATCAAACTGAGCCATTGGGAGGGGAAGGAAATGAGGTAATAAACTGCGACAGAAGAGGGAAAAGGGTTAGAGGCAAGTTCTGTGGTCTGTGTCCTTGCTACTGTTTTTAATTTTTCTTACTTGGGAATGTAATTGTCTGCTGGCTAACTCTGCCTCAGTAATATGCAAATGAAACCCGTTCTGCATCAGGCTCTACTGGTAGTTCTGTTGGCTGCCCTGAAGAGATGAGGGTGCCACACAAGGTGTTGTCAGAACCAGAAGCTGTTTTCATCCAAACACATTCACAACTTTGATGCTACGCTCCTCCCTCACCCAAGCTGGGCGGCAAGATCTCAAGGAGCCAAGGCTCCAGGGGAAGAAGGAGGTAAAGAGTGTTCCTGAGGAGTCTCATCCAGCCTTCACAGCTCCCAGGCCACCACCACATCTCCCACTGGTACCTCTCCCTTCTTCAGCGGGCCAGCAAAGCCCAGGAGTAGGCAGAGCATGTATATCCCTTTGCTTCTCATCCTGCCACTGGTTGCTGACATTTCCTCTGGGGCCTGTTTTTTAAGCTGAATTAATTAAAGCTGCACTTTAATTTTAAAGGAGTAATTTTTGGTCAAATTATCAGGATGAAGAAAGAGAAGACAGACCAGGATGCTCCTCTCCTTCTTCAGTAACCTTAATAAGTGCACATTCTACCCTGCTCTCTTGGCTCACTGAACATTCAGTGTCCTGAGCTGTGAGTTATCATTGCACGAAAAACAAGCACAGCAGGTGTAGAATTGACATGAGCACCACATGCTCCTGATGCACCATTCCAGAGAACTCCCTTCCTCACACAGATTGCTAAGGAAAAACTTGCTCTGAGCAGGTCAAACTCTTTCTGACAGAGAAGCATCTGTATTGCAACATAGTTTGCAAAATTTCTTCCACAAAAGAATGGTGCCAGTGATGAAAAATATAATAAAGGAACTTGCAGCAAAAGGGGACAATATCTGCCTCCTGTTACATCTATCTGTTCTATTTTGCAGCTCTAGTGTTCCTCTACAGAGAACAAATAGAAAAGTTGAAAACTCAGATTGACTGGTTTCCTAGTATTAGTAATTCCATCCAAGGAGAAAACTCTCTGGTGGATAATGCAAATCTGAAAGTTTCTCTAATATATTTCCAAAATATCACTTATTGCTTATTTGAACACATACCAACATGGTAATGTATATTGGCAGTCTCTCTTACAGCACCAAAAAAGTCATCTCTACATTTTGCTGCTGCTTTTAGACTCTGTCACAATTGCCTATCCATGGAGGATGGATCCCAAATAATTTCAGACAAGCTATTGCAGCCCTGATGATGAAGACTTTGCAGATAATTGTAAGGTGAGCTGCAGACCTTAATCTTCTAAGACATTAAATTATTGCTGGTGGTTAACTTCAATAAGAAAAACTCTTTTGGAGTTCAATTTTCTCATCGTAAGCACCGAGGAGTCCTTTTGTCTTCTCACACCAATATTTTATTTTCAGATTCTTCTTTGAGATCAGAGTTTTTGAATGTTAAATATGAATCTCAATGAAATAAAGCTCCAAAAGTATTTTACTGCTATTTGTCATGTGAAGCTGCTCATACCAGAGAAGGTTACCCTCTAAGTGGAACAGGCAGTGAGCCTGCCCTGCTCTTGAGAAGCCACTCACCTACCTTGCTAGAAACTGCCAGATGAATCTCAAAGAGTTAAGATTGTTTTTTCCCTCTCCTCTCCAAGTAAGCCTGTGTTTTGTTTACCCAAAGGAAGTTTATGAGGAATGCTATTGTTCCTTCAGGACCATACCCTGGAGCTCAGCAAGGTAATGAAGTGTTCTCTGCTCCTTTGGAGAAATAATAGACTTGAGACTTTTTACTTGTGCTCCTTACTTGAGCCACCAGGTGTTTGCTCCAGACACATCAGCAGAACCGAGTTCCACACGCAGACAAGCCTCTGCTCAGCAAGAAAATCTCTTGGTCCTGATTCCAGAAACTCATCAAAGCAGAGCAAAGTACTGCCAGCAAAGAGCAATCACTTAGACCTAAATGTTTGTATTAATTTATCATGAATTTTCAAGGAACTGCTGGGTCTTTCCAGTGAGTGACAGTGGCACCTTGCACTGTCCTGGTGTGTCAACACTAAGTGCCACAGCAGTGTGTGTCACAGCTGGAGCTGCCAGTGTCTGAGGAGGTGGAAGGCTCTGTGCAGACAGCCCTCAGGAGCAGCTGCTTCCTCTGGAATCTGAAACTCCACTAATGCTGCAGGACTGACTGCCCACCTCCACCTCTGTACTTGGTGTGTTCTGGCAGAAGTATCAGTAACTCCCAGAGCAATCCACGAGGTGAGGAGCCTCACTGCACTGAACGCTGCCTGCTTTAGTTTCTGGCTGCAAAATGACTGCACAATCTTGCTCTTGCTTTCTTTTCTTCCTAGGAAGCCATTTTGTTGCAGCTAAAGAAAATTTCTTCATGTGTTTGTCCCATGCTATAAGATTTTGAGAACACTTTTTTTTTTTGGTGGAAATAACATTAGAATGAAAAAGTTGTGCTAAAAAAATCCACTTTTCTTATGCAGTAAATAAAAGTCTTTCTAAATGGCTTTCCTATCTGTATTTGGTACTTGTCACTTCCTGTGTGTCTTTGAAGGAATATCTAAACAATAAACAGAAATAGTAGCATTTGCTCGGAGGATACAGTGAGTGAGAGACACTTTGAATGAACTTTTGACTGCTCTGCTAACTTCAGCTTGAGAATTCAACAAATGCACAAGTATTTGCAGTAAAAGAACATTAATACCTTGTGAACATGAGACAGAATATTTATGTTGAAAAAATGCAATTATTTTTATTTTACTAGCTTTGCTCCTAAATCAAGCCATCCTCATCTCCCTTCCCTGAAAATAGTATCTTTGTGTTTGACCTTGCAGCTACAGATGTGGCCCAGGTCACTCCCCCTGTCCACTTGGGAAGAAGAGAGGCAGGAATGAGCCTACGTTGGCTCTGCAGTGTGCCAACAGCCCTGGCTCTGTTAGCAGGCCATAAAAAACACATCTACAGATGTGAGACTAAAGGTTTGCATCTGAGCTGTCCCAGCTGCTCACTGTTTCTTGGTCACTGCTTCCACATAGCCCCCCTGTGTGCTTCCAGACAGCATAATTTGTTGTGCAGAGACCTAGTGACCACAGCTCTGCTGTAATGTAGCAGGATTTGTGAGCTTAATTCCAACCATCCTGTCCTGCTTTAGTTGGTGGTGTGTGTAACTGGGAGAAGGTCTCTATTAGTGAATGGCTTCTAAATGGTACAGTCTGTATCAGTCTCATATGTTCTGTGTTCAGAAACACCAAAATATTGACCATTCCAAGCCTTGAAAAATACAGATGTGTGACCTTGCACAGCACATGCTATTAATTCACTGACACGTAAAACCTGGATAGAATTCCACCTCCCAAACTTAACAGTTAGGAGTTGGCCCAAGCTAAATCTTCCTTAAATCTGAACAGGGATTATTTAGTTTGTCCCCACACTTAAACTCCCCAATGCCTCTTGTTGCTGTGTGGAGTAAAACAGAATTTTCCAAAGCCCTGAAACCAGACAGTTTCAGATCCACATCTGGCAAACAGCAGCCCTGTTAATCACCGTGACCCTGGGTCACTGTGGTCCTGATTCCTTCATCTTTGTTTTTAGCATTCTTGGCTGAATATCTGGGCACCTGTGCACAGCTGCCAAACTGGCTTACTGCCCTCAGAAGACAGTCACTGAGTTTTATTGGTTTTGTTTACGTTCGCCAAAGATTCTACTAAATAGCTCACTGAAAGGATTGCTTGGCCAACTGGTGCGCCCCAGTGGCTGCGTTAGAATTCATTGCCAGGCTTTTCGGTTTCTAGTTAGGCTTCGCCCTCTGCTGACAGACACTGCATTGCAGCCACTTCAGCACATCGATTACATACATGACCATTTAATTTGGGTCGTTTGGTTTCCAGTTCACTGCTAAAACAGACATAGAAAGGCTAAAAGATAACAATTTCTTTGGACAGTGTTAATTGTTGAAAACATTAATCTCTCCACAGCCTCTACAGGAGGGAAAGTTGAAGACAAGGGATATATAAATACCCACCCAGAAATGTTTGTTCAGACCTGGAACATTAGTCTGGACCCCCAAAAAATCATTAATAGCAATGAGTAAGGCTGAATATAGTCACAAAAAACTAATATATGCTGATTATTGTGCTTGGTTTACCAGAAACACTGGGGGATGAATAACGGCCATGAATAATTAATGACAGTTGCCCCACTGGCTTATGCAAATTCATCACTAGCAGTTTGTACTATGACATTAGATCATTGGGCAGCTTGATTATACAACAAGCATGGCAGTGGTGAGGGGGAAGATGGATTGCTTTTTCAGGTTTTTTTCCCCTGATCACAAGCTTAATCATAGAGTGAAAGTAGAAATCTATTTCATTTACATTAAAACCAGGAACAACACAAATGTTCTTCCATTCATCAAGGATCAGAGCAGCATTTCCCAAGGTATTTTGGTGTGCCTTGCTGTGACTGGCCCAGGCTCAGAAGCACGAGTGGCAGAGGATCTGTCCCTGACCTATGAGGTCATTACTCCTGCAAAGACTGGAAATGGGAATTTCTATATGCAATTACACCCAAAAATCAGCTTTGTATCTTCTCTAGCAACACAATTAAAATCTTAACAACATCATACTGTGTTTTTTAGTGATGCAGGACTCTGCATGTTCTCCCCAACACCTGAGATAGACACTCTCTCAGCAGCATGGCTTCTCACTACCAAAGGCAGCAATAGCCAGTGACACAGATGTATTCCATCTGTGTTCCATTTGTTTTCTCCATCCAGGCTTGCAGAATTAAACATTAAAAATATTAATGCAGAAGTGTCCTTTCTGGGAAAGGAGCATGAAAAAAAAAATACAGGACCAGGAAAAAATCTACTCTCAGACAAAACGATACTCAACAATTTTAAGAGGCTGTTCACAAAGGGAATTTATACTCCCTTCCACTTGACAGAGGTAATCCTTACTACAGCTGCACTGTATACTCATGTTCCCACTTCACCTTCCTCTTCCCCAGTCCAACATGTCTCTTTACAGGAGTAATTTCCCATAGTGAACTGGACAACCACATCCATTAAAGCATTTCTATAAATCTTCTGATTCCAGAGAACAGTGCTGCCTAAAGAAAATTTTTATGACTTCTTTGTTTTATATCAGGATGATGCAACTTTATTTAAAATTATTTCACTTTAGATCCACAGCTAAAAGAGTAAATCAATGTAAGTTCTGAAGGGATGCCAGCCTGCAAATGTAAAGGATTTTCCCAGAATAATCTGCGGTTAAATATTTAATAATTTAAAATATATTTTACAGGGTTTTTTTTCCTGTATCACAGGTATATAGAAAAGCTCTAGTTCAGTATAAACAATGAATACATGTGATCACATCTGCTTTTTCCTGTCAGTTTCTCAAAGGAGAGTATGAATTTAACACATTGGTCACAGACATTTACCCACATTCCCCTTCCCTTTCCAGCAGCCAGCTGACTCAATGACTTCCTACACTGCCTATTCCTACCAATGGCTCTTTTCACCTACTGATAACCAGAAGCTCAAATTAACAGAAATTTGAGAGAAGTGGAAGAAAGTTAGAACATTAAAGGCCTATATATTTACACATATGCTTTAGTGTCTCCAAAAGGCCTGAAGCCATTGCAAAACTACTAGGAAACAGGTCTCTTTACATATTATGAACAGATTATTTGCTACAGCTCAGAATTTCTGCTTTTGAGAGAGATGGGGAAGAAAGACAATCAAATCCCTTAACCCATGTCCTTTTTATTCAGGTAAATGGCCTATACCTAGCTAAACAGGTAACTTCCCTCTATCCATGCAGGTAACAAGAACATGGGCTCAAGAAAAGCTTAAGATTACTGCCTGCTATAGAAGTAAACTAACTCATAGTGCTGAGAAAAGTCTTTATAAAAGCTTGTGTCATAAATACATACTCCAAAGCTTTGCCATTTTGCTGACTGCAAGAGGAATTTCAGCTTCTTCTCTCGTGCAGCCCTGGCACCATCCCTTTACATTCCTTGCAAAAAAGGCAATATAAACTTTGGCCCCTTTCAGGGCACCTAATTCCCACCATACTGTGGTAGAGATCCTCTCTTCTAGCAGCGGAAGAGTAGGAGGGGGGCACAGCGACCTCAGCTACTGGCAGCAGGATCCAGCAGTAGGGCTAGGTAGAATAAGCACTGGTGTTTGCTTTTCTGGGGCAGTGCAAGCTCACCTCGAGCTCCATGGTCAGAAGCTCTGGACAGCACAAGCACCAGGCCCCTCATTGTACCCCAGGCTGGAGCCAGTGCTGGCCCTGCACTGTCAGCCCTACCTTCCTCCAGCTCATATTCCACCAAGTGCCTTATTTGCTTGTAGGTCACCGTAGACCTTGGTTTCACCCATAAAATGCTCTTTGAATAAGCCTCTTTTAAGGGAAGCATCAAGGAGAAGCAAAGCCCAGTCTACAGTGTAGCCTCACTCTTCTAGAACAAAATAAACATGTTTCCCTTTTAGGCAGGCTCCCATAAATATGAACAAAAATAAATTAAAAGAGTCAGATGACAAGTGTTTCCTTCCAAAGCTAAAGCAAGAATAAATTCCCAGTGCACCCTCCCCCAGCATATTTACATTGTAACCAGACTGGTGTGTAAAGCAAAACCATGCTGCCGAGAAAGGATTTTTCACTCACCCCTTGGCCAGAGTTGCTATGCCAACGTCAGTTAACTTCATTCCTACACCTACAAGGCATTAAGGAAACAGAGAGCTCATGTTACACTGGGATTTCTAGGAATATCTTCAGGTTTAAGAGCACTACATAGAGAGGCACTGAACGTTATTTATTGATTCATGTTTTTAATTATTTGTCACCAGTTTAAAAAAAAACACAACAATTTTAAAGTCCCCAGCTAAAACCAGGATGTTTGTGCTGTGTGTCACCAGCAGTTTCCAGAAGTCAGTCTCTTACCTGTAGTGTACAGATAGCAAGGTTATAAATAGAGCAAAACATGTTTCCTGAGCTGGACACTCCATGGGGGAGAAGGAGGGGCCAGGCTTTGGTGACTGCATTTTAAGAAACATACAAATCTTTGTGTACCTGCCCTGAGATGTGTATATTTATTTATGGGTTTTGTGTTTCCATGTTTTGCAAACTTGGACTACAATGTTTATTGGTTGTAATTGCATATTTGCTTTGTTAATCAAATAGCAACAGGTCAGTCAACCTCACTGTTACTTTTTGGGTGAGAGATCCAAAATCACTTTCTCATTCACTATTCTCAAAAACTTCAGGTTTTTAACCTGTCCCTTTGATGGCTTGTTTATAGGCAAAATCCAGTCCTGCAGTGGGCAATTTTTACTGTACAGGAAAATTACAGTCTCAAGAGCATTCTCCTTGGAGAATACCCTCAGAAATCTCAACTGGCATGCCTGAAAATTGCAGCCTAGATACTCAAATGAGAAGATGATTACAGAGGAAAGATGCTTCATTCAACAGCAGCAGGTATACTGTCCTCTGTGGCAGTATCTTGTTGCTAACATTCCTGCCTTCTCTTGTTAAAGACTAGGGGATATTGTCTAAGAATCCACCTTTATTTGGTTTTCTTTAACAAGGCTCTGTCTTTCTGTTTCAAAGACATCTCTACATACTGTCTTGGGTGCAGGCCCAGCACCTCAGCAGCTGAGAGCAGCCACACCCATAGGAGCACAGGGGCAGCACACAGCAACAGCAAGGAGGGCATTTCTTCACCTTTCCTCTTTCTTTGAAGAAACATGTTTCTTCAGACCTAGCAAGGACCTGAATGTGGAGCATTCCACTGCGTGAAGATTTTTGGTAGGTATTTAAATACAAGAAAAAGTGAAGGATTAAGAGCAGGGTCCTTAATTCACAAGACATTCAATAACATCTGGTAAGTGAGACAATGAGCCAGACTTTACTCATATTGAGTGTCTTGATTTCCCTGGGAGGCCTTGTGGAAGAACAACTCTTCCGTTATGAGTGTAAGATTTGGGTTTTGTTTTTCACACTGTCTTCTTACAAGAACATAAACTAGGTTAAAACACCCTTTCTCTGCTGATTATTTAAACATAATACTGCATAGGCTTATTCATGTTAGCCCCTGCTGCCACCATGGGCAATTAATTAATGTCTTTCTGTTCCTAAGGGTGACACAGACAAATAGACACAGTGTGCTTAAAACAGGCTATAAAATAAAATATCCTCACTTTTCTATCTTTCATTCTGATCTGCACAAGACACTGTATACAGCAGGCAGAGGGCCAGGACACAGCCTGCTTCTGCAGAAGACTCTGCCCATTACAAGGTTATGGAAGAAGCCCATTCAGCATTGCCAACAGGACACAGGAAACCAAGACTAACATGGCTCAGAAATCAGTCTCTGGAAGTTCTGCAGTTCCAGGGGTTGACTGTGAGTGGTCACCAGTCCATATCATGGGGAAGCCGTTTTATTGTCCAACCTCAGACAACTCACCTTGCAGATCAGTGACAAGCAAGTTTCCATTGGTCTTCTCGTAGACCCAGTGTTGGAAGGTGCAACACTTCTGGCCAGCCTCTGAGTCTCTCCTCAGGAAATTTACTTCCTTGCCATCCCTGACAGAGTATTTCACAAAGTCCCCAACCAGCTCCTCCTCCACAGTCGCATAGGGGATGTTATTAGCAGGGCGATGAACAAGAAAAATAGGAATGATCCTGAAATCAAGGGATAAAAACTAATAAAATCCAGAGTTCTGTCAATGAAGGAGTGAGAAACTGCCAAAGAGCCTAGTGATCTCAGAGTCTGAATGAACAGCTACCAACTCTATAGCACACCAGGAGACATCTGGATAAGACTGGTATCTGCCAGGTAGCATCCTCTGTGTGTGTACTGGTTGGCACTATTTACCCAGGTATAAACTTCTCCAAAGCATGCTCTCTAGAGTTGTCCTGCTACCCCCAAAACCTAAACTCTGCACAACACAGGGTGCTTGCTTATTTCAAGAGTAACACTGCTTTAGCTTTTCAGGATGACTGATCCATGATTCAGTCTTTGTGAGGTGTGGAGCACATGCAAATCTGGCCCACTCCAGAAAGAGCTTTGCCCAAGACCAGTGCAAGGTCAGGATTTCTCAGACTAGACTTCTAAAACCTGGCACATCCAAAGCTAGTGAACACTTTTGATAATGAACATACAAAGCAACTACTTTATCCAAAAGTTACAGAAAACAAGAAAGTCTCTGGAAAGATCATCTCAACACAAGTTGGCTCCAGTGAAAATACAGAACCTGAAGATTCTTGGACTTTGGCAAAGTTTGGATCCAGGTCAGAAAACTTCAGCTAATTCTGTATGAAGTTTTCAGGAAATTGCAAACTTGAAAAATACTCTGTTATTTTATTCATTTAGAAATTGAGATAGTTGAGGCAGAAAGACTGAAAAAGTTCTGTAGGGCTCCAGGCTGGGTCCACTTATGTCTAAAGATGCACCATGCCAAAATCTCACATCCAATAGTGAATAAATGTTGCTTGGGGTTTCATGGTCTTCCCAGAGAGAAAGACTGAATGTGATCATTTCAATAGTCTGGAAGAAACAACTAGCACCAAGAACTTCTTGGTTACCAAAGTTCCTGCTGTCTGGAAGGCAGTGTTCTACCTCACAGTCTTCTGTTTGTACTGACACTGGGAACACTCAGCACACTAGTTAGTTAGTGTTAGGCAGCACTCTGATACTACAGTGTAAGTTTCCAAAAGTATACCTGAGTAATATTAAAAGTAATACCTCAGTAAAAATAGTAAAAGTAATATTTCAAAGTACACAAAAAGTGACATCAGTGTCTATTAGAGTGGAATTTAATACTTCTCTGAGGTAAGGTCATTTTGGAAAGTAATTCAGCTGGAGCTGGCAACAGAACATTTTTATCACCCAGCTCACAAGAGCTCCTAGCACTACCTCAGAACAAATGGGGAAATGACTGTCACCACGGAACAAGTTTCTAGTTACTTGCTTTCCTACAAGTAGTTTCATCTCTTACAGCAACACTGCCAAAGGGGTGGTGTGGTTGCTCCTCACATACTGTACTGGATTCTGGAAATGGCAGCACTGTGACTGTATATATGTGCTCTGTATAGCTGAATTAGTCACAGGACAGAGAACCACATGTAACCACAGCACTTCTATGTTAAGTCTTCTAGTCCTAGTGCACAATCAAACTTGATTGACACCATTAATTTCTTTGCTGTTGTAGTATTTAACCCTGATTGTTACAGCACAGACAGCTAAACTGGTACAAGACCACAAAACCTCTATCTCTCTCCTCTTTTATAAACATCCAGCTGCCAGACTATGCTCTGACTAGTGCTTTCTCTGTCATTTCCTCAGCCTTCTCTTGCAGTCAAGTGTCCACAGACAGGCTAAGTCTGTAGCTAACTCTGGAGAACATGGATGACTTTTCTTTTGCTCTATTTATCTTCTAAAATGTTGCAAGGCCCTCTTTTAAACACAACTTTGGTCTGACAAGGGCTGGCTAGAAGAAAGGGATCCAGCCTTAAAATTTGGAAATTAAAAAGCAAACCAAAATTATATGGACATCACTTTTTGCTCCTCTCTCCTGTCTTCCAATCGTTTAGAATAAGGCACCAGATCCGAACATTCCATGTGCCTGTTATTTTCACCAGACCTCTAGTTTTCATAGGGTACATGCTCTCTCTGGTATCAAAACTAGAGGTTATAACCCATGCCTAGAGAAATCTCTCTCACACAAATATTACTAAAACCAATAAATTTCCTGAAAAGAAGCTGATACATTTCGTGAAAAGAAGCTGACTTGCATTAATGTTTTCCCTAGAAGCTTTCACTGCCACCTCCATCACTATTTCTAACCCTGGAAAGCTGATTTTAAGCAATCATTCCAGAGGCTGTGTTTTAAGTGATCTTTTTTGTCAGGGAATCAGTGCAGCTGATGAGATCTATGTCATCTAATCAGAGATGGAGCTTTAGCCTGCTGTCAAGCATGCAGGTCTTATCCTTGAAGTAAGGCAGATGGAATGTCAACCATCCATTGCTAATTCAAGTCTGCCCAGCAGTGTGACTCCAGAACAGCAAATCCTTTGAAAAAGATCCATTACAAAATCATGCCGTTTGCCTGCTACTTACTGTCTTTACTCCTTACTATCCTTCTTTAATGAGAATGGAATCTCTCTCACCACCTTGATACTCAGTATTATTTAGGTCATGACTCCAGCTATAACACTGTCCTCAGGATTCCTCTTTCTTCTTTAGCACTTACTCCTAGAGGACAGTGGGCAGCTGTGGCACAGGACAACAGATAGATGCATACGTCTATATGTATATAAAATATATATAATTGTACTCACTCTGGTACTTCCCCAAAGCCTTCCAAGGATTCAGCTTCAGCTGCATATATCTTTGCATACTCTCTTGCAGTATTTTGGACATAGCATTCCTGTATTACAAACAGATATGCCAAAACATTTAACGGAACATCTGTTTCAGTATTTGCAAGACAGCTTTTTCCCACAATTCCTGCTTACAAAGCACAGGGCAAACTTACCTCCAGTGCTAGTTTGTAGTTCTTTTGAACTAGGTCATCCTCACTCTTGGTCCTGTATGTGACAGCATTGTGCACTTTGAGAACACAGGGGTGGCCAGGACTGAACACTGGCACCAGCCCCTGCAGCACTTTGCTCCGGAAGGCTTTCCGGTGCATGCCTTCACCAAAGTGAAGCTCCTCTGTGGCTATGATTCCATGCAGGTTCCCACCAAAATACCTGTCTCTGATGAAATCTTCTCTGAACATGAGCTGCATGAACTCGATTTCTTCCATACCTGAAACACAAGGAATGCTACTTTGTTGTGCACAACATCCTTCAAATGCATCTCTCCACATAGTATTAAAGAAAATGCTCAGTGGAAACAGAATCTGTGGCCTAACTCTTGTTAATACGGGGCTGGGACTCGGCTCCTCTACATGGAACTTGTTGCCTCTGCCACCTGAAGCTAGCATGGAGAAGGTGGCAGTTCAGGTTCACAAGGAAAGAGAACAGAGAGTACCAAACAAAAAACAGAGGTAAAGATCAGGAACTATGAGAGGAGCTGTAAACTGCAGCTTCAAACCAATGTGAAGTAAGTAAAACTGACTGAGAATTAAAGAGGCATTGAGGGAATACAGAGATCCTGCCAACTCTGCTTTCTGGGGAAGACAGAGAGAGTAATAAAGCTAGTGTGCAGCGGTATATGTAGATATGGATTTAAAAGTAAAACACAGTTCTGTGCTCAGAGCACATTCTTTTGAAGCTAGCCTGTCTTTTCAGAAAAGCCAGAAGTTGCTGGTACAACCAGAGCTTGGTTTTGCTTTTCAGCTTGGAATGCTTTCTAGGAAAGATTCTGCCAATGTGTTTGCAGAGGCACTCAGCTGAAAGAGGTCTCTGTCCTTATCCAACAGCACCATGAGGGACACATGCCTTTCCTAGTACCAACTACATTCCCTACATCAGCTCCAGTGATGCACATTGGCAGGTTACAGGGCTTCTTTTACACCTAGCAAGCACTAGGTTAAAGACAGGTTAATTAACAAAGATAGAAGATAACAAGATTTTTTTAATAAGACCACATTTCTATAAATGACCGTGTTAGTTTCAAGCAAAAAGTACATACATCCATTTTAGTGATCTTTATATTCAGGATAAATTGGTACAATAACACTCCCCTTATCCCCCCACTTGTGGATTTTGAAGGTACCAGCAGTATAAGAATGTGTGCCTAAGTTTGTTACAGCTGAAATCAATTAAGATTATGGATTTCAGCCTTTTAAAAGATCACTGGAATACAAATTTTAAAAACTATATAAAGGGGAAAAATATGTGATTAAGGTTAAGCACTGATAGAAACTAAAAATTTCTAACTGCACTTCAAGTCTATCTAATTATAACATTTCAAGGAACATCAGTGAAAAAGGTAAGTAGAGAACAACAGGTGTGTATTACACACCAACTAATTCCCTCCAGCTCCCCTGGTTTACATTCTGTACGCTACTGCCTGTCTTTGAAGCACAGAGAAACTCTGCACTTTTAAGCTAGAATTAGAAGGCTCCTTAACTCCACCTTAAATTCTCTGTTGCTCTAAAGTTATGCAAGGCTGTTACATGAAAACTCCAGTCTTTATTTGAACAAGGAACTAAACATTTAATTTTATTCTTCTAGAAAAAGAAGAAAAATCCATTGTCCAAATGAAGTGCTCTGTGAGCACAGTGTGTTCAGAAAAGCCAACCCCATTTGCAATGCCCTATCTTTAGCAGCAGCACAGCAAGACACAAGCTGATTGCTATTAAACACAAGTTAACACAGGGAAAGCATTCCAAATCTCCATGCCTGCCTGTCTCCTGGAGCAATGTTACATGGCAGGCGACTTGCAGAGACCATGTGTCGCTGCAGCACTGCAGGTTATTGTGCCAAAGGAGGTCTCTGTGCTGTGCTTCTCTGTCACTGCCATGCTGGTGCATCTGGGGAAGGAGAGTGACACGCCACGTGCCCACCAGCAGTGTCACAGGGGTTCCTCTGAGCACCATCCCATTCCACCCACCCAACCCGCATGAATTAAATCTGATTTTATCTTTCACAGTACAGCAAAGGTGAACACAAAAAGGGAAAGACAGCTGGCAAAACCACAACACTAATTCAATGGCTTCAACAGAGTCCCAGAGTTTCCCATGGGATAACTGTCAAAATGTCTCAGTCTGGTTATATTTTCCCATCCTTTGTTCTATTTGGAAATCAGAAGGAACAAAGACTTGAGCACTAACTCAAGCAGATGTGTGTGCTTACCTTCACAATTCTGAAAACTCGAGAGATGTTCCAGTACTACAAGAAAACAAAGAAACAGATTTTGTAGTAATAAAAAAAGGCAAAATTAATGGAAACTGCCATTGTCATTATTATTAATCAAAACTAGGAACTGGGATTTACCTTCGGAAGTCAGATTAAACTCAGCAGTCACCTTTCCATATGTATTATTCAAGCAGCAGTAATACATTCCTTGGTCTTTGTTACTGGCTTTAGTTATTGTCACAGAGACAGGAGAGTCATCCTGGGCACTGGAACAGAATTTGTTAATTTTCCACATGAATACCTCTGAAAGTTCTTTCCCAATTATTCTGTATATCTTTCCTCCTGTTCCTGGAATTTCTATCCTCACTACAAAGACTAATTCAAATATGATGCAAGTAGACAAAATATTTTCTTACATCCTGCCTAGAAGAGTTCAGTCTATTATGCATTTCACAATAGGTAACCTTATCACATTCTGAGAGAAAAGTACCTCAATCAAATAAAAAAATAATTAAATCACACCAAAAAGCATTCTAATAGCCCTATCAATATCATGACCAAATGAAGTATGAACGTATAAAAGCCCAAAGTGTTGTGGGCTATTCCTCAATATTGACTCCTCACTCAGCTTTCTCTGTTCCTTTCCTTTTTTCAAGCTAGATATTTGCTCACAGATGTCTGTGTATGCAACTTCTCAAGTGGATCAAAAGCAGACGTTATTAAAAGAGGCGTATTTTTCCCAAAAATCTTCAGAAACATTCACTCACCTTCTTTGCACTTGAGCTAGTAACTTGGAATCTTTAGTCCATGTAATGGTGGAGTCATCATGAATGTCACCAAACTGACAGCATAACTTAATATTTCCAGAGCAGTCCGGGAACAACTCTGCTTGAATTTTCTTCAGCAGCTTGGGAGCTTTAAGCAGAAGAGCCAAATTTTAGGATTAGAAGGTAATTATATTGTTTTGGCATTTTAGAGGAATTCCAGAATGATTTGCAGATGTTAAGAATACAAATCTGACATCAATCAATCAACAATTAATTATAGTTTATTCTGATGCAGAAACCAAGGCTTTAAAATATGAAGGTTTTAAAAGCCTGACGGTGTAAGGTGCTGAATCAATGGAAATGGTTTCAATGCAAATACATTTTGAATGTAGGACAAAGGATCCCAGGGAAGTTCTAGCCTGAAAAGGCACTGACATAAAACAATTTCTTAATCAAAACACATCCTCTCTGACCAGCTGCTTTTATCAGTAAAAAAGGACACCACAAAGGTAGAGCATGCTGTATGGATACATAATGAGAATTCTGATTAACTGATTACTTTTAACTAGTAGACTATTTTAAATGATAATAGCCTTTGAGAAAAAAGACTTTAAGTCCTGGGAGATGCTCAGTCTCCAAGGTGTTCTTGGAACATACCTATCACATACTGCCAGGGAGAGACTCTTTCCAAAATGTGGTGATGGTACCATTTCCTTTCAAACACAGCTGGGTGGGGGAACCCACACTTAAGGGTTAGATATTTGCATTTGGTAATGTCAGTGGCCTTCCCTTCTCTCTTCAGTGTCAAAGGATTAAGTACCCATCTCTACAGAAAGTCCCTGCCTTTCCAGCTGCAGGGCACAGTTTTTTGCTTAGACCATCATGGTAAGCAAACCGAAAATCACTCAGTTTACAGAAAGAGCACTCTGCCCAGCCTGGGAAAGGTCCTGACAACCTGGTTCTCTGCTAAGACGTATTTATTGGCTCACAGGACACTCCAATGTCTTTGCATGTGGATGTGTCATGAGCAGGCCTATAAAGGGTACTTGGAAAGAAAGGGAATGGTTTGAGGATCATGACACATCCCTGTGCTTAAATGCCATATCCCTGCTAGATGTAAGGGATGTAAAATGCAAGATGTTATGTTTCCTATGTGTTAATTCCATGCTGCATTCTGAATGAGCTGGCACGACACATCTCCCTTGAGGAATCCCATTCCTGTTTCTGCAGTCTAACTTTCCCCATCTAATGCTTGAGGAATGCTGGATCCAACTTGAAGGGTCAGGCACCTGGAATCCACTGCTATGTTTAACTTGCAGTCACTTAAGTCCTTAGGCCAAAGAATCTTGCTGAATCAGGGCTAAAATGACGCAGACAGTATGTGACAGAACTGCAAATAGACCTAACAGCTCCACATTCCCTGCCCTAACCACCAAGTTGTCCCTCCTGCAGCTGGCAATGATACAACAGAGAAAACTGAGTGTATACCAGGCTAACCACACCAACCTTCCCATAATGCTGGGCAAAGGTCCACACAGTTCTCTGAAGTACAAACATACTTTCATTTTGGTCTAGGCTGAAGCAGATCAGAAGCATGTTAAGAAAATTCAGTCTTATTTGATTCAAGTTTGAATATTTAGAAAATTGTTCAAGCATAGCCTCAGGTACATGGAAGAACACCAGGCATTTCTCAGGAACTGCTGTTTCCTGGCTCTGCCCTGTAGGAATGTGTCTCTCCTCCGACTCATCTGGTTCTCTGGCAAAGGACACAAGTTTGAAGCGAGAAAAGTTTGGGGTTTTTTTTAAATGTGATTGGAAAAGGAGAACTATCACCAGACCACACAGTAATTAGAATCTCTGAAGAAGTTCACAGCTGTGTAGCTTGCCTTTAGTCTGACCTGCTAAACTATTCTATACTGTGAGTATGAAATGTAATGTCAAAAGGTAGAAATAAGACCCTGGTCCTTGCAAGGTATCCATAGAAGCCACAAATACCTCATCTGTCTACCTGTTACACTATTGCTACTCCTGTCAGCATTTTGTTTTACCTGTTAGCAACCTCCTACAGCCTCTGGCAAGCAACATGAATCTCATTTAAATTCTATGTTTTCTATGTCAGTTTAATGTTTCATCAGTGTCATCTATGACCAACAGCGGGGAAAAGGAAAGCAGAACCAGCCATCAGCCAGGACTGCAAAGCATTCTGTTTACCAGTGGCACCCTACTAATAACAGTAACACTTGGCTAGTAATAAAACCATTCTGTAACCACGAGAGGGTAATTGCATGTGCAGTGTGGCAGCAAGTGAAGAACACAGCCCTGTGGGAACAGGACAACACAAATCACTGGGCTTGCAGTTGCTATATTGTGTGCAATTATGCGGTGCCATTATGCCATACATCCCTGAAAAGGAACTTGAAGAGACAAATGAAGAAGCAGCTATTTCAAACAGGTTAAAAGTTCACAAATTTAAAATATTTGCCAGCTAGGAAAAGGATGCTGGGGAGAGTTCAGCTCTTTGGCGTGGGCACAGCCCTAGTTACTAACTTCGCAGAATGGAAATGAGAATCAGTGAGGGCAGGACACCTTTAGCTGACATAATTGAGACTGCAGGAGGCTTGCAGTCTGTTTCACAAATTTGGATTTCATGCTGTAGCCAGAACCAGCAGAAAGAAACAAAAATCATTGTTCTCTTACCTTTGCTATCCTTTTTCAAAGCTGGTTTCCTTTGCTCTTTTCTATCTTCTTTATGAGTCATCCCTGCCTCACTCTTCACAGACTTTTTAATACAGCTAGGATCCCTGCTGACATCTCCTCTCTCCTCCAGTCGGGGTTTTTTTGACAGTGTTGCTGGTGGTAATTTCTTCTTTGCTCCAACAGCTAGATGCCCACTCTTTGCTGTGTCTTGTTTAGATTTGATGGGCTCAGGCTCATCAGCAGCTGGTGACGTCTGGCGGGATTTTGACCCTTCTTGATTTCTTAGCCTTTCTGCGTTGCCTGGGAATGGATCATACGTGGTCAAGGCTAGGGAGAATGGCTGAGTTCTGCAGCAGGGTGGTTGCTCTTGAAAATACTGGTTGTTCCCTGAATCAACTGGTGACAAATTAACTAAACCATTTACCACACTCTCTGATGACATAACTTCTTTTTCTTTATCATACTCAGTAGTCTTAATTGAATTATCAACCTCAGTTAGCTTGCTGGAAGAGATCAGGTCAGGACAGAAATGCTCAGTGCTTATATCTATCAACAGTCTCTGTGCCTTGGAGCTAACTAAAGTGTGCAAAGGAGAGTTTGCTTCAGCTTCACCTGGGTTGTACGCAGTAGCCCCTTGAATCTCTTTTTCATTTTCCCACAAGACTGTTTTATCCTTGTTTTCTTCAGGTGCCCTAAGGAACTTATCCTTCAATGCCTTGCAGAAAGCTCCCAGCATACTCAAGTTTTCATCTACTTTGAGTGCATTTTGTGTGGATTTGTTTTTTACATGACATCCTGTGCCAGGACACTCCACTGCTGATAGACTGGACAGAAGGCCCTCTGACTGGCTCTCAGGTGTGGAGAATGGTGATGTTTCTGTTACAGGCAGCTGCTGGATATCTAACTGGTTACTGCTAACTCTAGAATCCTCATTTGATATGCTGAGGTACTGGTGTTGAGCCTTTCTGGACAGTGGGGTACTCACTGATGTTAGACTTTCAGATGCACAGGTGTGAGTTTGTGAAGAATCTGGTTTTAACTCTTCATCAGACTTGAAACTGCTGTCAACCAAAAGTACACACTGTTTTGCAGTATTATGAGGGGAAACTGCAGTCTGACTCTCTGGAACATGACTAACTCTTGAGTCACAGGAAGTTTCATCACCTACACAAATCTCTCTCTGTTCTTCTTCTACTTTACCTGGTTCATATCTGGGCACTTCTATACAAAAATCTCTTAAAAATGGATCCCCAGAAGAGGGAGTGGATGCCACTTCTTGTTTTTCTATTTCTGTCAGTCGATCTGTATTTAGGGGTAGACTCTTACGTGTTACAGTTTCAGGCATCTCAGTTAAATTAGGCAATTGCATTACATAAGCATATTTCTGTGTATCAGAACCAACTTGAAAATCTTGACTGTCATTATCTTTTGAAAGATGATAACCATCAGGATTACTCTCGTTTTGTGCACTGAAGTCTGAGTGATTTCCTTTTTCTTGAAAATTCTCTTCGTAACTTTTATGTATGGTGTTAACAGAAGAGTGTTCTTCACATGTAAACTGGTTGGTGTTTTCACTGGGGCAAATGTATTTGTCTTCAGGGAAACAAGCAACTTCTTTTCTTGCTAGATAACAGTCTTCAAAATGACACCTGTTGCCAGTTACAGACTCATTTATCAAGGATATGTTGTCCTGAGGATGAGGTAACTGCCCGATTGTCCCATGCAACTTATCTGACATGTAATCTGGGTTTTCTTTGTCACATACTAAATTGCCATTCTGTGCATTTTTTAATCTTTGAAGAGAATCTGCATCACATGCTTGGGAAGCATTAACGGTAAGCTTTCCAGCCCAAGAAGCAGTTATTTGACTGGATCCATTACTGTCAGTTAATGTTTGATTTGGCTTCTCCTCCCAGCACTCCCCTGTATTTAAGATGTTCGCTGAAAAACAAATGGATGGTGTTTCCATTTTATTTCCAGTACTAGAATCCAGACATGCACCATCTGCTTCTACCACTTGTGCAAGACAAATGTTTCCTGTGGATGCACTGTTACATGCTTCATCTGTTTTAAGTAGGATATTGGAAACATTGCAGTCTCCTTTCTCTCTTTGTCTACCAACAGGCTGTGTAACAGGTTCCTGCTCTTCTCTCACATTCACTGGCAAAAGATGATCAGAACAGGTCTCCTCTACCAAGTTCAGTGCTTTGACTTTAATATCTGTTGACCTCATTTCTAAACTAGTGATCCCCCAATTCTCAAAGGGGATCTGATAGTCGGAGTCATCTTCATGAAGAAGTTTCCACAGCTTGTCATGCACTGCAGATATATCAGCATCTCCTTTGCACCCAGGTTCTCCAGATTCCAGGAGTGCCTTGGTATTAGCTTGAAGGAGAGGTTCATCACATGGTACACTGCAGAAAGTATCTGTGTCGTTGCTCTGTTCTCCCTCCCATGGTTCATCACAGAGATTTGCAGATGACAGAACAGCACATAAACATTCTTGTTTATCAGGAACAGAGCCCATATCCCATAAAGGAAAAGGTGAAACACCATCCTTCGATTGGTTGCCATTACTAAGAGTAGTAATTCCTTGCTCACAATCTTGTTGGTGACAACTTTCTCTCTTGTCACAAGGAACGTGGTGCTGAGAATAGGTCTGTAAATTTGAATTTTTTGCTTGTAATGTCTTTTCAGCACAGAGCATTTCTGAAGCTGGATGGATGGCTCCTGTACTCTCACCAGTCATGAAGATGCCTTCCTTTTCTATTTCAGACTCCATACATGGTCTCTCACAACCCTGGGTAGAGATTTTAAGATTAGCTCCTTCATTCTACAAAGAAGAAAAAAGAGAAATTTAATTAAAAATCAGAATTGCTACTTGACACATGCCTGAGCTGGAGTCCTGGCTTGAAATATACCTAACTTTTTTATTATTATTAATTTTTAAAATACTTGTCAACTACCAAGTTTCTTGTTCTGGTGAGTTTCAGATCTGGATCCAAATGCTGAAAAATATAAAATTTAATCAAGATGAAGAACAATGAGTGGAATAGTCCACCTAGATAAAGACAGATAAAATTAAATAAGCCACAAAAAACCAGTATAAAGCAGTCACATCTATGCCTTTGGCTGCCAGTCACAGTGTCCCACCATATTTATGTCATTATTACACAACCCAAACTGATGAGTTTCTGGAACTACCCCAACTAGGTTTTTGGGATCTTGCCTTCCCCTTTTCTTCCATGATGGACATTGCTATCTTAAGTTTCATAAAGATGCCTTCTTAATATGTATCAGTCTTCATAAACTTCAGAGAATGCACCCCACATCTGCTGTGCAATGTATTCAGAACAGGACTCCTACCAAGAATTAACATCTCTGGCTCATTTTTAAGCCGTTTTTTAAATTTGTCTTTGGTTACTTATGACCCCTTGAGGTCAAGTCTCGCCTCCAAAGGGAGTGCCAGAGATCATCCCATATCTTGCCTCTGTCCAAGTGGTAATGAGTTGCTCACTATAAGGCATGTTCAGCTCTCCTCTAACAATGAGACATGCATTGCAATCTTGGGGTACTGCTGGAAATTTGGGGCAGAAAATAAAAATCTGTATTCCTCCTTCATCTCCTTTATTATTCCACATTAAAATATTCCAAATGGTCCCTTTATGTAGGAACAATCCATTCCTCAATTAAACTAAGCCAAACTGAACTGAATTTATGCAAGGAGTGCAGACCTTATTAAAGAGAACAACTGGCTTGAATGAGATGAAGTGTTGCCACCTGCCTGGTGTACAAAATCTGTTAAACTGTTTACCATTCCCCTCAGAACTGAGCTTTCACTCTTCAAATTCTTGTTCTGGAGACCCTGCCAAGCTTTTATTCTCTAGTCCTCTTCAGCACTAAATCAACTCCACAGAGCTGGTATGTTTCACCCATAGCAAATCACAGATGGAGAAGACTAGAAGTTTTCACTAGACAAAAATACATTGTTTACTAAATTAATTATGCTTTATGCTTTTGGTTACCCTTCATTTGACAGAATAATCTGTAAAAGTAGAGAACAACTTAGCAATCAACCCTTGAAAAAAACTTACTTTCAAATAGCCATTAACAGGATATAACATAGACCTCACGAGTTAAATTGTACATTTGACCATACATCTTTCTGGTGGTTGATGGAAGCTATGCAGAACTGAAGAAATGCTCCCAGCAGAACTAAAGAAATGCTAAAAAAGCATCAAACTAAGTTTAAAAAACACCAATATTTGTAGGCCTTTTCCATTTTTTAGCTTTTATGCAGCCACAAACTCAACTTTATAACTGTTTTGGGTTAGATTTTTCCCTCATGAGTCCCAGTTCCACCCTTAGTGATTCATTAACTGGCAATGCCGTGGTGGACGGCTGAAATGAGTACCTAGCATACCTAATGGGTGAGTCCTCTGGGTCACAGCCAAGCAGTGAATGTGCACTGAGTGCTGGTGGGCACATCATTCATGGAAGTGATTCTGAGAAGCAGCAAGTGGTATTCCTTAGTGAAGGTTATGTAATGAGGAGTTACTGCTGTGGGCTGGGGCAGAGGCAGGGCCGGCTTGGACACTAGCCTCTTAGTTTCCATACGTTCATGGCAATAGGATCACTGGCTGTAGTAAATATTATCATAGAATCCTAGAGGTTGGAAGGGACCTCGAAAGATCATCTAGTCCAACCCCCCTGCCAGAGCAGGGTCACCAGAGCACATCACACAGGAACACGTCCAGATGGTTTGAATGTGCCTCCAGTGAAGGAGACTCCACAACCCCTCTGGGCAGCCTGTTCCAGTGCTGTGTCACATATTACTAGATTTTTCCCTCATGAGTCCCAGTTCCACCCTTAGTGATTCATTAACTGGCAATGCCGTGGTGGACGGCTGAAATGAGTACCTAGCATACCTAATGGGTGAGTCCTCTGGGTCACAGCCAAGCAGTGAATGTGCACTGAGTGCTGGTGGGCACATCATTCATGGAAGTGATTCTGAGAAGCAGCAAGTGGTATTCCTTAGTGAAGGTTATGTAATGAGGAGTTACTGCTGTGGGCTGGGGCAGAGGCAGGGCCGGCTTGGACACTAGCCTCTTAGTTTCCATACGTTCATGGCAATAGGATCACTGGCTGTAGTAAATATTATCATAGAATCCTAGAGGTTGGAAGGGACCTCGAAAGATCATCTAGTCCAACCCCCCTGCCAGAGCAGGGTCACCAGAGCACATCACACAGGAACACGTCCAGATGGGTTTTGAATGCCTCCAGTGAAGGAGACTCCACAACCCCTCTGGGCAGCCTGTTCCAGTGCTGTGTCACATATTACTTCCCTTTGCTGCAAAAGCCACCCACTTCAGCTGCAATTTCTTTCATCCTTTCTTTTTTCTCTATTCAGCTTGAGGAGGATGTGGAGCTGACTACATCCTCTGGACAGTTGGGGAAGGAAGAGATACAGGAAGTTTGTGCCAACTCCTTCAGATGCTGTTCCCTTCCCAAGCACCATGCAGTTGCCACCATGCTGCCTAGGAACCTCAGCTCCACAACTGCAGTCCCCTCCAGTGCCTCCTGCTCAAGTCTCCTCTGCAGAAGATGCCAATCACCAGGTCTTTGAATTTGGACATACTCCTTCTCAAGTCAAGGCAGGGGTGAGTCTGGATGTGTCTCTACAGTCAGTTGCAGTTCTCAGTGGGTTTTGAGCATTTGGTCTGAGCCTAGTGCTCCTTCTGCCACTTCCACTTCCTCTCAAACCTCTGGAAAGCAGAGTTGCTTTTGCTATTTCCTACAGCCACAGGAGCCTCTATCACAGCTTTTACTACAATCTGTGGAATTTCTGCTAAGTACGTTGAACATATGATCAGTCAGTCCCTACCTGCTGTTGGTATGAAACTGAAAATAGACAGCTCTCATGCCCACTGGAAAGCAGGCTGATTATTTCAAGAACCCTTTTATCTATCTAATCTGTGTGTCTCTATCTGGCATCTGTCTGTCTCAAGCATTTATAGACATGCAGCACTGTAGAGTCTAGACACACATTTTGATGGCTTGCAATTAAATACTGCGACAAAAGAGGGCTTCTAATGGAGTGCCTTGCCTTGCATTTGACAAAAGTAGGCCTAGAAGCAGAATGCAATTTGAAATGTCAGAGTGGCACATTTATTAATTTTTGAATTTATATTTAACATTAAGTATTTTGTTTATGCCCCAGAATCCCTCTGAACCTGCCAGTTCCAGCAGGACTTCCCCAACACTGCTGGCATTTGGCAGCCCATGGACATGGGCTCTGAAATTCAGGGGTGACACCAGGACCTTGTGCTGAGGGTGCTGGCTGAACACTAGACACAGACCAGCTCTTGAATGACACACTGCAAACTCGAAGCCTCTTGGCTCTCTGTACAGTATGTAATGTCATACAGCTGGCACAGTTGGCCTTGAGGACCTATTATTATTTAAGCTACTTTGAAGTATTAGATAAAATAATTTAACCTTGCAGCCTCCCACCTTGACCATCTAATGGAAGGAGAAGTCACCCAGCATGGCAGTTGCTGCACAAGACAGACTGCAAAGGTTGCTCCAGCTGGAGGCAGCCGGGCACTAAGGGGAGGTGTAAATCTTTGGGTAATGAGTTCTGTGGTTCCATGGCTGCTATGCACCTCTCTGCAGACCTGATTCACCACACAGATGGAAAACACCATGCCCTTCAAAAGTAGTCAGCTCTGGGTTTGCCACAAGTCCCTCACCTTGCTCTGGAAAGTTGTCTCAAATGCTGGGCTCCAGAAAATACCACAGGGCACCTTGAGCCCAACCTGTGCAGCAACGGGAAGTTGATTCTTTCTTGCCTTTCTTGGGTTACACAGCAGATTGGTGAGGAGTTTCAGGCTTACTATGTGGGAGCTGTGAGAAGCTGTCCATATTTCCCTTGTACTATAAAAAGTAGCTTCCAGATGGGATGCCTGTGTTTGGCTCATTTTCAAGACCACATAATTTTGCAAGTAGACCTAAATTTCATTTATGTTCATGTGTGTTTAAAACCAGGGGTTTGGTTTGTGCTCTTCTCTAGCCCTTCTGTGTAGACTGATGCGTCTTTCCTACTTGATTTCATCTAATGTACAGTTTTGGTCATGGACACACAAACAGAAGAAATACATACTGACTGCAGGTAGCAAGAGTCTAACTGGCCAATCTGAAATCTGGCCATGGCACTTTCAGTAACAGGTCAGTTCCTCTTTGCTAAGAGGGCCCTGGGATTTAAATTATTGTACTGCACTTGGAAAAAAATGAAACAATCCCTTTTGCAAACCATGGTAATGCATACTGTCAAGGAAGTCTCAGGAGGTTAATTTCCATAGGGGGTATTCCCCATCATAGGAACATTACATGCTGCTAAAATAAGATTGGAATTTTATGTACTATGAAAACAGAGAAACCCATAGATGTTTTTCAGGCAGAAGAATTCAGGTGTTTTTGACTGCTTAAGACACCACCCACCAGGGGTGAGTCAGCCTGCTACCCAGAACTGCAGGTATTTTCACCTAAATAATACAGATGAAGAAGAGCATGTGGAACTGGAAAAAAGCTTGTGGTTTTTTGTTATTATTTTTTTTTCCTGTGCAATGAGCTATGCGTAAAATTGGTGATTATAAGATTATTCATGATTCGGTATGTATTTATGTATTTTGAGTCCTTATTCTGTGAAATAAAAAGTATGACCCAATGTTCCCACTTATGAAAACTGGTGTAGCATCATATCAGTCTGCACAACCATACCAATTTCCTACCAACAGCATAAAACATGCAAGTACCTAAAGAGTACCACTTGGGGGGTTTTATTTTTAACTGTTTTTTACATTTCAACTGGCATATCTGACCTTTCATTGTTTTACTTTTAAAAAGCAAAGCTCCATTCACCTCTGAAACATGAACTCTCTGGATTAAATTCCCCTCCTTGTTGTAATTCAGAGAAAACCTCTATTGATCTGTTTTAGATTTTCAGCACCATTAAGTGGATGACAATTCCGTTCTTTGAGTATGAACTTGAAAAGAAAGTAAATCAAAACATTTTCTGCCCAGAAGAGGAATTTGAGAAACTTCCTGGGTTGAAAGAAACATTACTTTGGTAAGACCTGTGCAGCAGCCTACATATCGGATTTCCCTACCCAGCTGTCCAGAGTCCCATTAGTGCCTCTCACTATTATCAGTCTCACTCTATAATTAGAACAGCTTCTGGTTTATTTGGGCCTTTTTCAAAACCAGATTTCCTTCCCAGCCGTAGCTGTCATTCAGAAGTATATGAATAGTAGCTTTCAAAGTAATTTAAATTCTAGATGATTTTGTGACAAACTGGAATAAAATGCATTTAAATCAGTAAAGCAGCTCTTTCTATTAAACGATAAAGACTTCACTTACCCTGGCTGAGATGTCTTCATTGGGCACCTGATTTTGCTCAGAGAGGCCCCAGGTCCTTTTCCTTTCCCAATCACAGTCTTTATCTGCCTCTTCTGCATGACACAAACCAGCCTGCACTTGCAAGCTTTCTGTCTCCTCGGGGATTTGTGTGGAAATGACACCTCCCTGATTGGGATACAGAGTAGTGGATTCTCTAACCTCTGCTGCAGTCTGAAAAGATTGCCCTATATTACTCACGTATCTGCAAAGCTCTTTAGGGTTTAACAACCTTAAAAGGTTTCTTCTTAGACTTTCTGTCAGGGTACAGACAGCATGCTTTGCATTTTCCTCCGGCACATTTCCTTCCCCCTCCTCTAGCAGCAATGAGCTTTCCTCCAGCATGTCCTTGTCCATACTGCTTTCTGTCATTGTCCCTGGAGCCTGATTTGTGGAAGAAACACCTAAGCCACTTGTAGAGGAGTCCACCTTGGAAGGGATATTATCCTTGTTCTTTGATTCAGCAGTTGGGAAACCTGCAGCTGAGTGAGCACTTCCATTATTGTCTTCTTCAGTTCTGGAATGGTCATTTTTAATGGCTGCAGATGCAACAGGCGTGTTACACTTTTCTTTGTCTTTCAAACTGGGACTTTTATCTTGGTGGTGTCCAGCAGTGAGAGTCATCTCTGTCTGCAAAGTTGACTGGCTGTACACAGAGGGGTCTCTCCTTACATTTACTCCTTCAAATTTTGAGTGATGACTACAGAAGCCAATGGTGGTATCCATAGGCGTAGTGTTATCTGACACTTGGAACAGACAAGGCATTTCACTGAGGAAGTAAGCACACCCATCACAATCCTTACTCAGTTTTAAATCATCTTCATCATCACTTTCTAATAAAAATTGTAACTTCTTTTTCCAGATTTCATTTTCATGCACTGTCAGCACATCCGAACATTCAAAATACTCCAGGTCATCATCAGAAAAGTCATCACTTACACTTGGAATTTTCTCTGAGTAAATGTCCAGAATAGTGGCAGAATTTTCAGAATCATCTTTTACAAAATAATTGTGATTTACTATGGGAGTATCTGCCTGCTCACTGAACAAAGTTAGAGGTGTGCCAAGCCCAGTCTTTTCACATGCCTGGACATCTGCCAGAGACTGACCCGATACAGAGTCTCCCATGCTAAGGCAGCAGTTGTCTGTGTGAGAAGGGATTACAGTTGTAGGGCAGGAAT